TATGGAAACTGTACTGTGAAACAACCATTACTCATTCCCTGGGCTCTAAGCACGTAGGTCTATCAAAGGCAAGCCAGTCTGGAGAGGGCGGGGGGCGAGGGCTGGAAACAGGAGTCTACGCGTTTCAGATTAACGCTTCTCTTGAACAGTTTCTTTTATTTCATTTCCCCTACTTTTTAAATTAGCAAATACAGTAGACCCAGAAGGGAAATGCACAAGGGAAAGAAGGAAAGAGGAGAGGGAAAAAGCAACAGCAGCCAAAACTCTGTGACTTTTCACTAGGGTTTTTGTGTTTGAACATCTGAATGAATCATGTATCTGTTTTTCATTATTCTCCATATGTGATTGTTCCCTGCTTTGTCTGGTGATTTCTGGCCGTTTTGTCATGTCTGTGCTGATTTTGTTTTATATATTGTTCTATTACAGGGCGGTTGTTGCTTCTCCTATGCCTCACTTAGCAGTTATGCCACCAGCAAAGAGCAATCTGAAAATGAGAGGTTACGTCAAAAGGTTCCCTTGGTGAACTCCCTTGCAATATATATGATTACTTCAGACTCGACTGCTTAATTCATACCAGGGAGACATCCTCAGATAACATTATTCCTTAGCACGACAGCAACGTAACGGGTGTCTTTTTAAAAGCCTGAGGAATACTGGAGAATGACTTAAAAGTCTATTGCAGAGTGTTTTCCTCAGTTTTCCAAGAGGAAACCTAACATTCCTTGCTAAGCAGTGGCCTGTTTTAGCAGATCTGCACATTGACACGTGGGGTATTTGAAATAATTGCTTTGTTATATGAACTATTTTCTACTTTCAGCTCTACTCTGTACCTTGGTCAACCCACAAATGACACTAAAACAAATCTCCAATCATGGGATAACTTCTTCTCTCATCTCCTTGAATTTCATCCACCCTACCACACTGTATAAACATCACAGGACGATGTGTTCATGTAACAGGGTATCTCATACTTTGCAGAAGGTGAGTGAGATCCAGAAGACTGGAAAGGAACAAACAAAATGCCTGAGGTTTTTTGTTTTGGTTTGGTTTTTGTGGAGGTTTTTTTAAGGTGGTGGGGTTTTTTTTGTGTTTAAAAGGAATGAATGCAGGCCCAGGCAATTAGACACACTTCAACATATTTTCAACTTCTGAAAAAAATCTTTGAGCAAATACATAACAGGTGATTAGTACCACACAGCATGGATTTAGCAAGAATAAATACTGTCACATCATACTTCCATCTAGAAGTAGGTCTTCTGGATAGGTAAGTACCTTATATTTTAGTTAAACCTTGGTTGTCTCTCATAACTTAAGCAGATGGGAGAAATACGATCTAGCTAAAACTGCTGTGGTGTATGTGCCAAACTGATTAGCAAATCCAATTTAAAAAGAAAGTTCTCCATGGCTCACTGTTGCACTACCTGGTGTACTGAGAGGGTTTCCTTAAAAGTCTTCCCTGGGTTTGTCATTATTCACTCTTTTCCAAATTATCTTGTCCAGTGGATTAGAGAAATCATTTATTAACTGTGAAGAGGATACTAAAGAGGTAAATGCTGCAAGTACTCTGGAGACTTCAGATTTGAGAATAATCTTAGAAAATTAAGGAGTAGTCAGAAAAAAAAAAAGGATAAAATTCAATACAGACAAAAGAAAAGTACTAGCCTTAGGAGGGAATAATCAACAGCACAGAGCAGAGCACACAATAAGGAATGCCTGGCTGGCAGCAGCGCTGGAGAAAAGAATAACAGACCAGGGGCTGCAGAGAATCTCTTAGCATAAATCAACACTGCTGTTCTCATGCAACGCCCTGTGCCTCAGAAATATATCTATATCTTAAATATACATATTTATTTACACGGATATAACAACAAAACAGGAGAGTCACGTGATCACGGAGAAGACCTCTCTACACTAGTGCGAATGGTAAAATTTTGGCCATGTGACACCCAGTGCCTGGCTGTAACATCTTCAAGCAAGAGTGAACTAATTAGGCAGAGACCAGGAAAGTCCAATATAATCAGCAACTTAAAACAAATTGCCTTTAAGGAAAAAGTGAAAGGAATACGTGCTTACTCTAAGGAAAAGATATGACAGATGCACAGCAGTCTTCAAATATATACATTTGCTGCAAAGAGAAAAGGAATAAACTGTTCTGCATGTCCACTGGGGATGAAAAAAGAAACAATAGGCTTAAATTGCATCAAGGGAGATTTGGGTTAGACATTAGGAAACATTTCATAATAGTGAGGAGAGGGAGCACTACCACAGATTGCCTGAGGAGCTCAAGGAATGTCCATCGCTGGAGGCCTTTGAGCACAGGTTAGAGAAACACCCTTCAGCAGTGGGTTAGATCTGATCCTGTCCCGAGGCAGAGGAATGGACCAGCTGACCTCTTCAGGTCCCTTCCGCTTCTGATTCCTGGGAAGCTTTTCTTTTTACTTTTTCTTTTTTTTTTTTTTTTGTAATTTTATTTTTTTGGCAGCCTAACCAAAGAGGAAGGAAATTGTACTCAGCATTTAAAGCAGCAAAATTTCTTTTTATGCCATGGAGCATATTGTTAATAAATCCAATTATGTTTACGAACCTTTAATGGCAGCACTTATGTCTTAAAGATCCATCTTTGAAAATACAAATAAATATCTCTGCCCTACAGTGTAATACAACAGTGTGACAGCAAACTTTTACAAAATTCCAACTCACTGTTATATTGCCCCACTACAATAATCTCAAAGCTAACTACAACATAAAGAACACCAAACCCAGATGGCTTTCATTCTTGAAATTCTACCACTCAAATTCTTTACAATCTTTTCACTTCACATTTTGTGTTTCACAAACAGTTCTATTCCTTTCCTTGTTTACTGCTGGCAATGGGAATGGAAGGAAGTTCTGACCACATGGCACCACGTTTGTGGAGTGGTTACCAGACAAATACGCATTTAATAACAAAGCAAAAAGTTAAGGACAGTCATTGAGCATGCTACCCACAGATTCTCTCCACCAACCTTTAGGCACCCAGCTGAAGCACCTACACTGACAACACCGTGGTCTCAGACAAGCAAAATCAGCAGACACAAATACATTTTTCTCTCTCATGGACTTGACCTCATTATTTCAACATATGGCCCAGTTCAAATCTAACTCCACCTGCTTGATTTGTGTTGCCATTTCAGACAGACAAATTTCAGAAAAGAAAGATGAAAAAAGGATGGAGTTGACACATGACAGAAGAGAGACGACCTCAGTCTTGTATGGTAGCTGGAAGGGGAACAGGGACTTCCATGCCCTCGTCCCCAAAGGAAGATCCCAGTTGGAGTGCAAGACAGTGGAGAGTGGTCCTAGGGTAATCCCAACCTACCTGGCCACAGACTTCCTATTTCTCATCCCTCCCATCAGCAGCTCAGGCCCCTCCAGCTCTGCTAAACCTAAGCCCCAACTCTGTCCTGGCCCAGAGCTCTATCCCCAATTGCTCCCACTCCAAAGCCTTTCCTATCCCACCGCAGCACTCCTCCTCCATGTTAAACCAACTCAGAGCCCATTCAATCCACTCACCCCCTTCGTAGCCCTATTATGCTGCAAGTCCCCCTCTCCCTGCAGCTCCCCACGCTGCACCTTGCCTCCAAAACTCAAATCTCCTGGCCGCGCTGCTGCCAGCATCAGCCATGTCTATCATCTCCTGGCTTTGAAACTGCAGCACTCGCCACCTGATCACCCTGCCAGGGCTTTCTGCACTTGGCACAGCCTGACTTCCCACAAGGGTATTCCTTCATAATACAATCAAAACAAACAAAAACCCCAAAACAATAAACCAGGTTTTGTTCCTGCTGTAATATTCAAAGAAATACAGACAAAGCAATGTTATCAGAAGTCTGCCAGAACAGTGCTCCAAGGAAAGGAAAAGCAGATCAGGTAAAAGCAAATGCCCAGCAGTGCCACTTCTGTGGACTGCCCGTGACCCATTGGGTTGGTGGAGGTTTTAAGACTAGAAGTGTCGTCTTCCAGCCTACTTTTCTTCTGAGTGGCTAACAAATGCTGTTGTGGCAAGCAATAGTAAAGGCACACGCTTCCACAAACTGCAAGAACATCACTGGTATAGCTGGCATGATTTTGCCCCATCTCGTAATTTCCCCAAATGTCTTCCTCTGCTTCTTCTCTTCACACCCTATCTAGCCACCCATAAGATATTCCTGTGCTGCAATGCTTTTGCTTTTTACTAACTCATATAGAAATGCTGTCCAGAATGTGCCTCTTATCAGTGGAACCCACTTTAGCAGATCTTCTTGCTCCAAATGGATTCTGTATATCATTAGTGTAAAGTTAGAGTCATCCTAAAGCAGAGCTTCTCCCGCAGACTTGATGGCTCTTCAGACCAGTAAATGAATAACAATTCTAGTCCTGAGATACTTCTAGACATGTTAGTCAGTATATATCTAGGCAAATATAGCTATACACACACACACGAAACATGTTGTATTTCACTAAAAACTGTTCTCATACATTAGCAGAAAAATTAAGAAAACTAGAAGAGGAATCACTTTTATATCTTGGTATTGCGACTTGTGATTCTACTCCTGTCACAAAGAATATTCTCTTCTTCCAATAGGGTAGGCCAAGACTTCACAAAAATAGAAAAATTAAACCAGGTTGTGCTTGGGAAACTTTTCCCAAAGGTTTCTCATTTTTATATAGGAAATCAATTTGCATCACTGATGATATCATTCAAATCAGACAGCACTATGTGGTTAGAAGGTAATTTACTTTTCTGCTGAAGCAATTTGATACTTGTTCTGATTTGTGATTTTCATTTTGTTTGTTAATGAAAAAAATTAATGAGCAATGTTACTGGAAACACAACTCAAAGCTTTGGCATTATTAAATATGTTTGTAATATACCGTACATTATGTTGATTGCACAGTTGGAGCCAAAGCTTTGGCAGTCAAGCCACCAGTCAATCATTCAAACAGACAATGAAGTCACAGGGTAGATGTTTTTCACGTACCTTTGCACTGATTTGTGTTTTTGTCAAGAATTGCCTTTGTGGATACAATTTTCCCATACCTATGCAGAAAACAAAAAACCAGAAAAATGTGTTATTATATTTTAATAATGTTCATAGTTATTTTTAACACACTTTAAACACATATACCAGTAAGAGATCTACTGCTCTTGAAAAATGTTTGCCTGGTACTCCTGGACAGTTTCCTTCTGCCACTGCAGTTCAACAAACACCTTCAGAGTTCACCTGAAAAGCACTGGTCATTTGCCACACCTTGTCCATCTCGGGTCGCTGTGCTGCGCTGCCAGCATAAATTATAGCAGCCGACTTCAGCGCTGGTAAAAATGTCTCTTTGGCTACATTAATTAGCTTTGCTTAAAATTTTTTTTCTATTATTATTTTTAGCTGCCAAACAAGGTTTGTTTAAATACAGATGGACCAGATTCCTCCAGAATTAACAAAAATGCAGGAATTGTGGTCATTTTTTTACAAGTATGCACACACAACTGTGCCCAAGTATGCACCCATGTCTGTGCACATACACTCTACGCTCTAAACTTCTGTTCTGGATAAACAGAAGCTTTGAGGTTTATGTGCATCTCCTAGCTCTTTCCAAGATGAATGCTAATACTTATTTGAATTTATATCACCTCCCATAGATAGCATGGCACTGCACCGCCATTTCATAGGCTTAGCATGATGAAGAGGGAATTCAGGCAGCCACAACTTGTTGCATTAAGCAACTAGACCATAAAATACGTATCTGTCTTTACCTCACAGAGGGTAAGACTAAAAATTCAGACTTACGAGTAAGTATCACAAAGCTCCAGTAAAAGATCACAAAAGATGGCATTTATGGCTGAATATAAGACTTCAGGAGAATAAGGAGAATAATTTTATTTTGTCAAGTCACCGATATGTCTTGGTCTCTGCTTCACCAAAGAGAACTTCCTCTAAAATGTCCTTTCCCAGATTTTGAAAAGCATTACTGGTATTCTGATAGATTGGGCTTTCATTTGGAAGACTTTTCCATGGAACACAACTTTCACTGTCAATGAAGGACTTATTACTATAAAAGATTATAATAAAATTCTATCTTTTAATGACAAAGCAACACCCATGGAAAATAAATAACAGCTCATTAATTACTAACCACTGAAACATACGGCAGACCAATTTTTATTTGGTTAATCTTTATTAACAGCAATATAAATTTGGTGTTAGTGACTTTACTTAAAGCCCAGAAACCAGGAGGTGGAAGACTTTGCTACAATTCCCTTCTCTGCCTCAGGAGAAAACCCATGTCTCCTACTATACCGAAAAGGACTCTAAAGGCAGCTAGAGCACTGTACTACATATTCAAGGCCATGCTCTTCTCTGTCCTACCAATCTGTAAACACACCCAGTAAATCAGGAATAAAGAAAAAAAAAGACAGACAGACAGACAAAAAAAAGACAGGGAGCAAAAGAGGGAATGGTACCCTCACTCATAGGGAAAAAGGAACCTTGGGGTTTCTATCTGGGACCCAAAAAACACTTCAATACTTCAGGAAGGGGGAGCAGCACCAACAGGGAAGAGTGGGAACAGCCTGCCTAAACATACTCTTTGGTACCAGCAAAAAAGATTTGAGGCAATTTTGTCCCGGACAAAGTTCTCAGCTGAAATTTCCACACTGTGAGTGACATGTGACCTCTCAGCTGTGGATAAAGGCCACTGCCTCTCCATGTCTGTCTACTCTGTTCTCGTGACTGATGCAAAGTGAGACTTTCCACATTTCCACTGTTTTTACTTTCCCTAAGAACCCACAAAAGCATTTGTTTCCATTTGACTTTCATTTCAGGGAGGAAAAACACGCTTTGCTTTATTTCTTACTGAAACCAGTCAGAAGAGCAGCAAACTGACCTAAAGGCATTAACAGTTTGTGCCAACTAAGTTAAGCCCCAATTCAGCCATCTTTTAGGAACCAAGGAAATCATAGAAGCCTTCTTCCCTTGCACACACCCCCTTTTTTGCTGGCTCTGTAGAATGGCAGGATTTTGTGCTTTGAAAGCTGGCATAATCCATTGTACATGCCACTATGATAGGTACATAGGCAGGTAGTTGTGGGTCTATTTTGCCATAGCTGGCTCCACACCTAACACATATATAACATTTAATTTTAATCATGAGATCACACGCACTTCTAACCTCAGGTGTTTCCGGAACTGGGACCTTTATACTCACTTATACTCCACTTAATTTTATAATTTTTCATGGTAATACCTGAAGTTGACTTTGGCCTTGAAGACAGCAGAGCACACGTCTTGAGAAGGCAAAGCCAAATTCTCTGCCAGTGTGTAATTTATGGTTGTTCAGCAGGCCAACTTACCCAGCAGGAAATTTGGCCTGTGCGGTGCATCTTCATGTATTTGATTTATCTAGATTTAAAATCAAATACATGGAAAACATGCAAAAACTCGCGTATCTTGCACAGCAAAGGGCCTCTGACAGATATACGGAAAAAGAATCCAACAAAAATCAGCAGCTAACCCACAACAACCTCAAATAAAACACAACCTCTACCTAAACTTCCGCCAACAAAAACTAACACCCAGGCTCCGCTGCAGTCCAGCCACTCCTAATGAATTGATATGTTGTTTCATCCAAGTCACGTGAGAGCTAAAAGTTAACATTTCTTGCCAGCAGAGACAGGCATTTGTGGTTCCTCTGCTGTTATTACAGATTTCCCAGAGTTATTTGCTACATACTGTGATCCTGCAAACACTTAGTTACACTAGAGATTTTACTCAGAGAAGTAATTCTGTTCAGTTCATAGAAGTTTCGTCCAGCACGTCGTTACGTGCACACCTTCACGTTTGCAAAAACAGACATCAGAGCGGTAAGAGGCACCACAATAACAAACACTATTATAGGTAATTAGCCATATGCAGGCGATTTAATCTACCGCTATAAACCTTAAGTGCTACCACAAGAAAGTAATTGGAATTAATTTGGACACTGGTTTCCTAAATATTTCAAGTAATTATTTTACAGTAATCGGAACATCAGTTCTGATGAAGAATGTTAGCTTGTGTGCTGCATGAAATCCGGAAGGTATTTTGTTCCTACAAATGTAGCAATATTTCTTTCTTGCATGTGTGGAGAGCGGTATCAAGTTATGTCTCCTCTCCAAAGTTGTTTGGCTTTCTGTTTGTGTGACCTTTCATCGTGATTTGATACACCCGGAAGTATTCTTCAACGGAAACACCCACAGAAATAAGGATAAGGTGCATCACAACAGCTGGCCTCTTGTTTCTTTATATTTAAAAGGAAACTACTATAAAATTCAACAGCCTGTGGACCTCCGTTCTACAAACTACTGGTATTATTAATGTAAAAAATACCAGGTATGGTTTACTTGTTGTGAGAAAACATGAGCACTGTTTCATTTCCTCCTAAGTTGCAGTGCATGGAAGTATTCTTTCTAAGATCTTGAATCAAAAATTCCAGACAGAAAAAGATAATTGTGGAATTGAGCTCACCTCCATGCCTTTTTACCAACACTTTAACATAATGACTGCATCATTAAGGACAACCTACTGCATCACAGTATCCAAGGGAAAACACATAACGAATCCGCGAGATGGTGACCTCAAGAATGTGTCTACTGAACAAGTGATCCGAAATCGCTATTCAGAAGATTTCCGGACATACAACATGTGTTGGTCATTACACTCTTCCCGAGCTGTTGTCTAAATGCATGGCAAGCACAAACAAAATTGTTTACATGTGTTTTTTTAAATCCTTTTAATCCCTTATATTCAATTATACTTTTAATATTTGTCCATGTCATAATTTTTTATTACAGGAAAGAAAGAAAGAAATTCCTTACTCTGAGGGTGTTGAAGCCCTGGAACAGGTTGCCCAGAGAAGCTGTGGATGCCCCCTCCCCGGCAGTGTTCAATGCCAGGTTGAACGGGACTCTGAGCAACCTGGTCTGGTGGAAGGCGTCCCTGCCCATGGCAGGGGGATTGGGACTAGATGATTCTTAAAGACTCTTCCAATCCAAACCATTCTATGATTCTATGACTTGTGGCCCTGGAAGTCACATACTGCCAGAGGATACCAGAGTAGTATCATAACATGTCATCCCTGTTTTAACACCAGGCACCTCCACAGCAGCCAAATCAAATTCCCGTCTGACCCAGCCCAGCTGTTCTTACATTCCAAGAGAACATTAATCTGGGGGCAGAAATACCTTCTTATAAATAAAGATTTTTACCTTCTCTTGTATGTATTGGTTCAGGGTGAAAATGTTCAAGTCATCTGATTTCCACTACTAAAATCACAAAAGTCACTTAAAATACCTTCACTTACAAACAGTAGTAACACACACCGTGTCACACAGAGGGTAGGGCAAAGGGAAGATCCCACGTTGTCGTGCACACAGAAACCGTGCTCAGCCCTGGCTACAGAGCTGTGTCAAAAACCACTCTCAAGAGTCCCATCCCACTGCACCCCACATTTTCCGACTACTCAGCAGACTCGGGAAAGATGCAAGCAATGCAGAATAAATCCCTTAACGTACATCAAAGTTGCAGCATCAATAGATCATTTCAAGAGCTTGCAGGCAGGCGGTCGATCAGCACTTACACTGCAGACAAAGCTCGACCCGGTCATTCCGGGGAAGTTATTTGATAACTGCTGTTAAATTGGAGATAGTTCCTGAAGGAAGCAATTCAGCTGCAAGCGATACCACTTGTAAGATGCGGGAACGTTGCCCGCTGCCCACACTGATCCCAAACTGATGGGAATTTGCTGTCTCACAGCACGCAAAGGATTCGAGCCATTTCTGCTTCTGCCTGCGGGAAGCTGGGGGTGCACAGGAAGGCAAGTGGGTGACCAAGGCTAGGGGGGAAGCGAGACTGAGCAAGGGACTAGCTCAACACAGAGGAACCAGGCACCAGCCACCCCACTGCTGGCAGGCAACACGCCAGGGTGGGAAACCTGCTGAGGGACAGCCATCAGCAAGCTGCTGGGTCTATGAAGGGCTTTCCTGGGAGACCAGGCTGGTCGGGGCCA